GGGGGGGAAATGGATCACTTCATACTAACAGTGTTGTAAGGAGAGGGGAATAAATCTGAAACTGAAAACAAAGATTTTGTTAGGGTCATTTTTTAAAAAGGCATGAAGAGGAATTGAAGAAATGTAACCAACTGTCACATCATGCTTGGAAAGATAGATGGTCAGCGAAAGACAGGAAGACCCCCAGTGAAACGGATTGACTCAATGACTGTACTAATGGACTCAGGTGAGTCAGAGATTGTGAAGATGGCACAGGATAGGATGCGGGTCAGAGTCGTTGTTCACAGGGTCGCTATGAGTCGTACTTCAGTGGATGGCACCTAACAGCAGCCACGAGGTTTAAAGTTTGAGGACAAACGACCTAGTGGAGGTTTGGCAAGCAATAAGATATGGTTACAAACTATGGTACGACAGCCCTCCAGGTGCCATGTGGAGATGTGGAAAAGAACTGGAAACACTCCACTGGAATTCAGGAAAAGACCGACTCACGGAAGGCAGGCCCTTGGCATAGATTTAAAAGATGGAAGGTTTGTTGGGGTAGTCCTCCCCTCCCCCAACATAGGACTGGAAACTTGCTTGCTTCTAGGTCCCTCCTAATAATATTATTAACGGGCTGCAATTTCCATCCCCAACTCTTGGCTTATCATGACACACCCACCAGGGCAAGGTGGCTGTCAGGTACCTCAACGTGTCTGGGTGTGAGGCGTCACAGCTGAACAGGAAGTCCGCGGCCCTCAGGTCACAGATTGTGCCCCCTTCGGCCACTGTGGAGGCAAATGCACAGGGTAAGCCTAGTACACACTCAGTTTAGTGGCCAAAGTACCCACTTTTTCTGCCCTGCCTCCTACCCCAGAACTGCCTCAGCTTTGGCTTAACGCTGCGAGAGAACCAACCCCGCTGCCCTTGGAACATGGCGCCACCGCATTCCCCAAATGGTGCGATGGAAAGCCGAGGCGGAGCAGAGCTCCTCAGTGATTGGTCCCGCCTCAGAGCCCAAGCCCTGTGATTGGTTGCAAGGAGAAGGCGGGAAAGACCAGAGGACCAAGATCAGAAGTACCAGCCGGGGAGGGCTGAGTATTTGGTATGTTCCCAAGTCCTTCACCTTCCCTGCGGAAGAGCACGCAAAACTTGTGAGGGAAATTGAAAGAATTTGTTCTTGAAAACAACGTATTCGAATTTTGTAAATAAACTAGTGGCGGGGCTGGGGGGATTAAAAAAACTTGTGAGTTTTTTTTAAAAAAAAACAAACCCTGCCAAGAAGCTGCACTGCAATCCCAGAGGCCCACAGTTCAAATCCACCAGATGCTCTGCTGGAAAAGGAGGGACAGTCTCCTCCTGTACCAATCAGATCCAATTTGACGGTACATACTCACAAAATAATAAAATAAAACTTAAAAAAAACAAACAAACAACTTGCTTGTGAATGTTAAGCCCTGATGTTAACATAGGCATTATATTGTGTTGTGCAAGCATGGAAAAAGGTTCTGCAACATTAAATATTATTTGAAAGTGAAATGCACATGATATTTCATCTGTGTTCCAAATTGAATCTCTAAAAGATGACGTTTTACACAACATAACCATAATGTTGTTATCAGGTCTTTTTAAATAGCAATATTCTTTAATCGAATATTATCAGAAAAGTTCCAGTTTTCTCAAAATCATATTATTTATTTTACAGCATTTCTCCCTCTTACATAAAAAAGTTCTAATTTATGGTGTTGAGCCCATTTAATTAAAAATTTCAAAGTTATTGATATAAAGTTATTCATATAATCTATTATTTTTCTAATGTGTTCAGAATCTGTAATGACAGTTCCTGTTTCATTTCTGATTTTAGCTATTTGTGCTTTCTCTCTTTTTTCAGCCTAAGCTTGCCAATTTATTAATCTTTTTTCAAGACTGAATTATATATAAAATATTGAATTATAAACATCTTACTTTGATACACTGTATATTCCTTTTCTTGGTCCTTATTTTTTTCTTTTGTTTATTAATTCATTTTAATGAAAGTTTACAGAGACTTCGGATTTCCATTCATTCATTGTTGCACTTTTTTCCCTGCCCAGCTTCCCCCCCACCCAGTCTGCTCTTCTCTTTGAAAAGTAAAAGAAAAATTATTTCATTGTTATACAATCCCTCAGCCCAAGTCCACTCCACTATGCAGCCTTCATTCTGGACTCCTGTCATGATAGTAATACCTAATCATATATCCCTTTTAAACAGTTCTCTCCCTCATCTGTTTCAATTTATCCTACCTTTCTCAGTCTCCCCCCAACCCCGATGTCAGTCCTGTTTTACAACAGTTGCACTATACAGTATTTGATCTTTTGTGACTGAGATATTTCACTAAGCATAATGTCCTCCAGCATCATCCATTTTGTATATTTCATGAATTCTTTGTTTTTCAATGCAGCATAGTATTCCATGTGTGAATATACCACAGCTTTTCTATCCATTCGTTTGTTGATGGGCACTTAAGTTGTTTCCAACTCTTTGCTATTGTGAACAAAGCCGTGATAAACATGGGTGTGCATATATCTGCTTGGGTGTCAGTTATGGTCTCTTTGGGATATATTCCCAGTAGTGGAATTGCTGAGTCAAATGGTGTTTCTATCGCAATTTTTTGAGAAAGCACCATACTGCCTTCTACCCTTTTTTTAAAATTTTTATTTTATTATTTTTGTGTGCGTGTACCGTCAAATCAGATCTGACTGGTACAGGAGGAGATTGCCCCTCCTTCCCCGGCAGAGCATCTGGTGGATTCAAACTGTGCACCTCTGGGACTGTAGTTGGCCTTCTACCCTTTTACACTCCCACCAACAGTGAATAAAGGTTCCAGTTTCTCCACAACCTCACCAGCATTTGTTGTTTGGTGTTCTGTTAAATTTTGCTATTCTTACTGGGGTGAGATGATATCTCATAGTTGTTTTGTGTCCTTAATTACTATGCTTTAAAGTTTAGTTCATTTTAAATCATTCTTTTCTAATTTCTTGAAATACGTAGTTACTTGTCAACCTCTGTCTATTTCTAATATGGGGGTAAATAAAGAATCAACTCATTGACTCATGCAACCCCATTGTCAGAGTTAAACTATGCTTTATGAGGTTTTTTGTTTTAAATTTTAATTCTTTTAAAAAAATTTATTAATTCATATTTGCACATTTTCTTCCCTTCCCCTCAATGCAAGCCAGCAATAGATGTCTAGTTCCAGATTGTTGTTTCTCTGGGGTTTTTAGTGACTTTTTTTGAAAGTAAATTGCCAAATCTTTCTTCTGAAAAGCCTTTCTTCTATAGTTTATGTATTTTTCTCCTTTGAGATGTAATTTTTGTTATAATTTAATTAAGAATATTCTTTCGTATTTCCAACATGAGTTTTTTGATCCAAGAATTATGTGAGATATTTTTCAACTTCCGAATGCTTGTGGGTTTTGAGTTATCTTGTTGTCATTGATTTCTGGTTTAAATACATTGAAGTCAAAGGCTGACTATAATCCTTTGAAATTTTCATAAAGACTCAAATTTATGACCAGTGTTCTGTGTGTGTTTAAAAAGAATTCTCTTTAGCTGTCAGATGTTGTGTGTTGTTGAGTATTGTGTTCAATATATATTCATTTGGTCGAGTTTGTTAATCATATTGCTTTGTTCTTCTATTAATTACTAAGAAAGGAATGCTAATTTTGGATTTAACAATTCTTACTTGTCCATATTTTGGCTTTTTATATTTTAGAATTATCATAAGTTCATGAAAATGTATAAAAATATCATTACTTTGTAGTAAGTAAACCAGTAAGCACTTAAATATACTCATGTGACAAAGTAGAAGTGCCACATAGATTTTATTGTAGGCTTACAAAAATGTGTACATAATGAGGTATTGTTCGGTGCCCACCTTGCTGATAATAATTGAATTGGTTAAAGATACAGATTAATGAGAATTCCTACTGGCAGGGAGCTCTGGTGGCCTAGTAGTAAGGAATTGCACTATGGGCCCAAGACATGCAGTTTGAGTCCACTAGCTGCTCTGTGGTAGAAAGACAGACAATCCTTCTGTGTGATTAACTACCTCCAAAAATCTGCTGAAAGGTCAGCCATGAGTTGGTACGTACAGTACATAACAACAAGTGTTAGTGGAATTGTAAATTGGTACAGACATCGAGTTCAGACATCAAGCTACAGCCTTCTTCTAACTCATGTACAGATTACAGAGGCTGACAAACTCAAGGTGGGCAGGTCAGAGAGGGAGTTACTGGCTTCTAAGTATGATTGATCCGAAATTGGTAGGAAACATGACCGACCACATCCTGGCTCAAGTCCAAAGATGGTCACTCTTTGTTTGGGATCCTGGAACAGGATCCCAAACAAGAAGCAAACAATCTTTGTCAACATATGCAGTGCACGCCCCCAGTGAAATTTCTGTTCAATTGAATGGCTGTTCATAGGAGTCTCATCACTCAAGTGATTGTAAAGTCTCATCGAGGAAGATTACATAATGTCAGATCTCATCAAGTGAATAATTGTATCATACCTGCCAAACCAGGAAGTCATGAGCAGTCAAATTGAAATATAACCTTAACCATCAAAGGCAACTAGAAACAACCATATATCACATCAACAGTACATTGGATATTTAAATTGTTCTTGTTTTTTTCTTATACACATAAGTTCCTGGATGCCTCAATTGGTTTGTGATGGGTTACAAACCTAAAACTGACTGAGTCTACCCAGTGGTATCAGAGAAAAAAGACCTGGTCATCTGCCTCTATAGAAATTGTTCTTGTTTTGTGCCGTCGAGTCAACAGTGACTCATAGAGACCCGATGTACAATAGTCCTAAACCCTGCTTTATCCTGTGCCAATTTTATTGTCTCTGATACACCTACCCTCATTACCCCAGTCATTGAATCAATCCATCTCATCCAGGGTCTTCCTCCCTTGCGCGGTCCCTCCACCCTCCCAAGCATGGCATCCCTCTCTAAGGACAGGTTCCCCCCTTGCAACATGTCCAAAGTATGTCAGACGAAGCTTCAGAATCCTTGCCTCCAAGGAGCAGCCTGGCTTCACCCTCTCCAAGATGAACTTGTTTGTTCTCATAGCAGTCCATGGTATATTCAATACTCTTATCCAGCACCACAGCCCAAAGGCATCAATTCTCCTTCTGTCATCTCTAGTCATTGTCCAGCTTTCTGATGCATAGCAAGTAACTGAAAAGACCATGGCCTGTATCAGGTGCACCTTAGTCTTCAGTCTGAAATCATTGCACTTCAGTACTTTGGAGAGATCTCTCACAGCAGACTTTCCAAACACAATTTGTCTTTTAATTTCCTGGCTGCTGGTACAGAATTGTTGATTGTAGAGCAAAACAATCTAAAGTTGTTAACAATCTCAATATCTTCATCAGCTATCATGATGCTGCCAATGCTCACCCAGTGGTAAGAATCTTGGTTTTCTTGATGTTGAGCTTCAATCCATACAGGAGACTGCAGATCTTGATTTTACACAGCAAGCACTTTAGATCTTCCTTAGTTTCAGCTAACAGGGTTGTGTCATCTGCATAACGCAGATTGTTGATGAGTCCACCTCCAATCCTGATACCACATTTCTCCTCATAGAGTCCAACCTCCTAGATAATCTGTTCCACATATAGATTGGAAAGATATGGAGATAGGACACATCCTTGATATACAGAGCAGTTCTATTCCATAACACAATGGATTATCATAAATCAGAATCAACTCAGTGGCAATTAGTTTGGGATTTTTTTTTTTCATGTTCATCTGTTTTAGTTTCTTTTCATATGATGGAAGACAACTTAATTTTTACTTTAAAAAGTCAAAGAAACCTAAACATTATTCCAATCATTTAAATTTTACAAATAAGCACATTTTATATATATGTAGTACAGATAAGGAAGGAGGAGTGGCATTCACTTTCATAATAGCTTGTCTCCAGAAACCCTTTGAACCTGGAGAGAGGATGAAAGGCACCCAAGCGTCAAGGACTCTCCTTTATAGGGTCGCTATGAGTTGCCTGTGACTTGACGACACTTAACAACAACAAAAACAGTACAGATAGAACCATAATCTATAACTTTTTTATTAGAAACATGAGTTATTTTTAAAAGGAAAAGGCAATGCACAAATATAGGATAGTGATTACCTCAGTGCTGAAAGAGACACAGAAACCTTTAAAGATTTAGTGTTAGTCTGCGTGGTTGTTGTTGTTGTTGTT